TGAGGGAGTAGGCAAAAAGGCAGATAAGCACTCTGACAGGCAAAGAGATAGGGAAAGAGGCCATATATAAATGACAAGGTGGCAAACTTCTATTTCTTCACCCCAGACCAGGCTTGCCAGGCGTTAACTCTGGTGCATGCCCCCCTCCCCCTTCCAGCTGACCTGTCCAGATGTGTCCAAAGTCATGTAGCTCTGGACATAGCGCAGCTTGAATGAAGGTGTGGGCCTAACAGCGCCCTCTTTAAGTTGACCAATCCAAAATAAGAAGAGGGATCTTACCTTATAGCACCAAAACACTTAAAGGGACTTGGAGTTCAGTTTTTCAATCCCTCCTCACTTGTAAGGAGTCTATTTCTTTGTGTTTCTTCACTTAAAAATTTTTATTCACTTTTTTCATTTCATATGTATGAGTGTTTTGCCTGCATATATATACATACACACATATATGTGCTTGACATGTGTGCAGTGTCCATGGAGACCAGAAGAGGGTGTCATATCCCCTGGAATTGGAATTACGAGTGGTTGTGACTGCCATGTGGGTGCTGGGAACTGAAGCCAGGTCAGTCCTCTGCAAGAGCAGCAAGTGCTCTAAACCACTGAGCCATGTTTCCAGCTCCTCTTCATTTTTAATAAAGTCTATTGCCTGCTGTGCCTAAAATTCTTCCTGTCTTTTAATTCTTTAATTGGCAGAGAAAATGAACCCAATCAAGAGCCGAAGACAGTAACACATGCACATAATGGAGTACAGCCCACAAAAGAACAAGTCTTTACATACTTATATTAACATCTAACATGTACATAGCAATATTAGAAAAAGAAGTTGCTTATAGTATAAAATCCCATCAATATTTATATAGTGATGGTAATAGTTCAAAGAGGAATATCTAGAATACCAGACTATCAGTGATTATCATTTTTAAAAATCTCCAAATTTGGTGAATTAAATTCATATTACAAAAATACAGATAACAAAAACATACTCAAATGTTCATAAGTTTTATTCATAACAGTCCCAAACCAAACAACCCAAAGCTTATCCACTAATGCACTTCTCTTTACTAACAGCCTTTAGTCAAGCACTGACCTGTTGTTAGTAGTTTTGTTTTCTTCAAAGTTTCATATAAGTGGAATTGGTATGTAGTACTTTTTGTTGGACTTCTTTCTCCTAACATAAACAGATTTATCTGTGCTATTGCATGTATCTTTTTTTTTACACTGTCAAATACTATTGTGCACATATATCACTGTTTATCCATTAACCAGTGTTCCAGCTTCTTAATGTCTTGTTCAAAGAACTGAAGAACAATTAGGAAAACAGCAAGGGTTTTTATTAAAAGCAAAGTTAAAATAGAGTAGATAATGCTAAAAGGGAGCAGTGGGGCTGAGTGAGCCCCAATTACTGCTTGGAGATTCCTTTTGTGGGTCCAGAAGAGTTGGATGCTAGGAGTGAATGTGATCTTTTTCAGTTTTGATCCATAGGTTTGGGTTATGTAAGCCTTTGTTTATGGCACATCTCCTTTCTCATTTTTCATCTGATTTCAATGATATGCGTGCCCACAGGCATAAGATGGCAAATGGGGGATTTTCCCTAAAAGGTCACACAGAAGACAGTTTGCACGTACACCTTCAAACCAGTCCAGGCTGGATTAGCCCACAGCCCTTTGTTCCTGAATGTATTTCAGAATGTGTTTGGCCACAGAGGAGGAGTTAATAGGGGTTGTTAGGGAGCTATAGGTCAGGGTGATCAGTTTGTTTAGAGAGGTATGCATGCAGCTTAAAGCAGGTGGGATCTCAGCTTGCAAGGTACATTGTTGGGAAAGGTGTGTGTGTGTGTGTGTGTGTGTGTGTGTGTGTGTGTGTGTGTGTCTCAAGGTAAGTGGGGTCCTGGGTTGCCAAGCTGTCACTGTACTTACACTAAAGAATATATTTACTATTAAATTCTACTTTAAATTGGTGAATCACACTGGGCGTGGTGGCGCACACCTTTAATTCCAGCACTTGGGAGGCAGAGGCAGGTGGATCTCTGTGCGTTCAAGGCCAGCCTGGTCTACATAGTGAGTTTCAGGACAGCTGGGGCTACAGGGAAACCCTGTCTCAAAAAACACCAAAAAATAAAAATAAAAAATTGGTGAATCACTGCAGTTAAGTAATCACTCATATGCATAAAAATAAATAAAATAAAGTACAGATAAGCTCTCCCTTGATGATTCCAATACAAAGTTTTCCCATTCCCTGGAAAGGTTCTCCTCCTCCACAGTTTAATAACTACCAATAACTACTGGATTTTATTTCAAGTTCTTATTTTATATTCACTTACATACACAGAGTGGTAATCTATATTGGATGGGAGGGCAAGGTCTCACATACTTGAGGCTGACCTCAAATTTGCTATGTAGCTGATGATGACCTTGAATTCCTGATCCTCCAGCTTGTCTCGCTGGTGCTGGGATTACAGGCAAGCACTACTACAGCCTGCAGAAATCTGTATTTTGTTTGTTTTAAAATATTTTATTATTTGTTATGTGTATGAGTGTACTGGCTGTATGTGTGTAAGTGTACTCATCTTATGCAATGCCCACTGAGGTCAGAAGAGTGTTGGAGCCCTTGGAACTGGAGTTGTGGACAGTTGTTAGCTGCCATAAAGGTGCTGAGATCTGAACTCAGGTCCTCTGCAAGAGCAGCCAGTGCTCTCAACAGCTGAGCCATCTCTCTAGCCCATTTTTTGTTTAAGTTAGTCTCATAGCCTGGGGTGACCTCAAACTAAGTAGTCGAGCATGACCTTGAACTTCTAATCCTCCTACCTCTACCTCCTAATTGTTAGAATTACATACCTGCACTACAACTGGTTTTATGCAGTGCTGGAGATGAACCCAGGGCTTTTGTGCATATCTCCAGCTTGGAAATCTATTTTTTAAAAAATATTATTTTATGTGTATGAGTGTATTGTCTGAATGTGTGTAGGTGAACCCATGTCATGCAATGCCTGCAGGGGTCAGAAGAGGCGTTGGATTCCCTGGAACTGGAGTTATGGACTGTTAGATGCCATATAGGTGCTGGGAATTGAACCTGGGTCCTCTGTAAGAGCACTGACTGCTCTTAACTGCTGAGCCGTATCTCCAGCTCAGAAATCTTTTTTTTTTTTTTTTTTTTTTTTTTTTTTTTTTTCCCAGTATGATGGTTTTCTCCTATTTCTCTGTGGTCTACAGGATGTGAGAAAGACATCAATTATTTCTTCTTTGTATAAGGAAAAATTGGTTGACATGTTTTTCCTCTTCCGAGAGCTGGGATTAAAGGCGTGTGCCACCACGCCCTGCCAGAAATCTATTTTTATATTACCTTACAGTACTTACTATCAGAACCACCCCCCCAAAAAAAACCCCTACTTTGGAGATCCTTTCATTATAACACTGTGCATTCTAACTCCTGGTGGTATTCTAGAGTGTGGACATTCCACAGTTTATTTGGTCCTCTCTCCACTAATCACACTGTTTGTGGGGGTGCCAATTCTCGGCTTTCCTAAAGCCTTCAGACAAGAGGGAAAGGCAATAACAAATGTGAAAGCACACTTATGGAGAACCTGAGAAATACGGAAATTTCTTTAGCAGGTAGTCAAAAAGTACTTTCCAAGGGAAAATACTTAGAAACCTTAAAAGTTGGTGAACATAGCCTAACTAGGAAAGGTGGGGACAGTGTGCACTAGCAATGGTAAACTTCAGCAACAGTGTAAAAGGGGAACTATTTGGGAGATGGTGACATTCTCAAGGAATTTATTTCTTCTACGAGACTTATAGCTTATTTTGTAACCAGTAAAACAGTAAGATCATAAACATTTTAAGGGTGAGATAGCTTTCTTCAAGTAACAAATCTTTCTTGATCCTTTTTGGAATGAAAATGTACAAGAGAAGCAATCTTTCCTCGTCCACGACTCAAAGCATTCATACCCAGCTGGGAACCCAGCTACGCCGCAGGCTGAGGTAGAACCTCAGATTGGTCTGCTCTCTCAAAAGAAAAACTGGAGAACATGCTTTAGATCTGGGGTTCCGTCCTTAGTGGAACACCGGATGGAAATGTCTTGGGAGTTCTCTCGTTCTGTCATGCGGTGAGCTATCTTCAGTACAAGCTGGCGTTGGAGCCTTACACTCTGCCACCTTTGCTCTGCCAGCAGGTCTGTTTGTAATCCTTTATCTCCGGAAAGGGAAAGGTCAATGAGATGCTGCACCTGTGCAGAGCAGGCACGCCTATATCCTACATGGACCTTTCATTAAACTGCCCAACTCAGCCCTACAAAAGCACAAAGGAAAAAAGTCTATAAAAGTAAGTAACTCCCTTTGTTCTGCAGGTTGTCGTTGGTTCTACCCCGGCTTGCCCAGCTGCGACTGGCCGGTGTTACTAAGATATTTTCCTTGAAATCCGTCTCAGCCTATCTCGCCACCGAGCCTGGAAAAATATTCAAAACAGAGACTTCTACGTTTCTACTTTGTGGCACAAGCCTCTGGTGGCGGGCAGAAAACGTGTACCCGCGGAAGGAGGAAGTCACCCAAAGACAGGTGAGAACATCCGCACTCCTTAACCCACAATGCAAAAGGCAGTGAGTACAACGTCACTCTTTAAGCCATAATGCACACCTCGCCTGCCCGGAAGCGAGCGCCACAACCCCTCCACCGCCACCACTCAGGCGGAAGCGTCTCCTGTGAGCCGGATGGAAGAAGTGGAGCAAGGCATCATGGGAGTGGGCCTGCCCGGAAGCGAGCGCCACAACCCCTCCACCGCCACCACTCAGGCGGAAGCGTCTCCTGTGAGCCGGGATGGAAGAGGTGGAGCAAGGCATCATGGGAGTGGGCCTGCCCTCCAGTACGCATGAGCCAACCGTCCTCGCCTGCTCCACGTCCGGTAGGTCGCAGGTCCGTGCAGCTGGCTGGGGCCCTGCGCGCGCAAGCGCCGTGGCGCGGGCGGCGTCGGCAGCGCAGGGGGGTGGGGCGGCGGTGACGCGATTCTGTCCGCGTTGGAGCGGGCGGGCCGCCGCCAGAGTCTCTGCGGCCGCCGTGTGACGTGGCACAGCCGAACACTTAACGCCGAGCCGGAGCTGCCGCGCCAGTCGCCGAGCAGGTCCCCGTCCGGTTCCGTCGTGTCCTGCAGCCTCGCCGACGCGCCGGCCAGCCAGCGGCCCTCCTTCAGCCCTCGCTCCTCCGCCCGTTTGTGGTGAGCCGGACCTAGGAGGCCCGAGGACGCCCCCGACCCCGTGTGTCCGACACCATTGCCAGTACTGCCATGGGCCTCACCATCTCCTCTCTGTTCTCCCGCCTCTTCGGCAAGAAGCAGATGCGCATTTTGATGGGTGAGTGAGGGGCGGGAGTCGGGCTGGGTGGTGTCCGGGGAGGCCGGGTCTCCCTGCCTTCCCCGGCCCTGGAGGAGGCGGGGTGGCAGCCGCGGAGTCGTGAAGAGCCCTCGGGGGAACAATGGGTGTGCGGTGTCCTCTTAAGGGGCCGCGCCAGCCACCCCTCCAACCCCCACGCGGCGCTCTGCCCGGCTTTCCCTCCCTGCGTGAACACAAAGCCTGGCAGGATGGGGCGGAGAGGTGGGGTTAGCCCGCGTCGGCGAGGCCCGTCCTGAGGGCGCACTCTCCTGGCCCTGGGCAGCGGTCCGGAGGGAGGCAGGGCGATTCTAGCCTTCTCCTCCCCCTCAGCTCGATGTACGCCCTGTGCACGCACCACTGGTATGCGAGCTCTGTCCGGAGCCGCCTGGGGCAGGAAGTGACCGGGCCCACTATCGTGGCAAAGGAGCACCCAAGGTTTGAGAAGTCCGGAGTCCTCTGCGCTCATTCCGCTAAACTTTGCCTTGCACTGAATTCGGCTTCATTTGCTCTTTATTGTTTAAGCTCATTCCGTAGGAACGGAGTTTATCGTGCGTCTGTCTTTCAGGTTCTTACAAGAACCCTGAACTCGTTTGGTTTATTATCTTTGTTTTTTCAAAGTAATTTTTGCCCAGCTAGCCTAAAACTGGTTAGGTGTAAGCGCCTAAGCTGAAATGAACATCATAACGCTTGGTTTCAGGGGTAGTCTGTTTAAAAAGGAGATTTCGCTGGGTGGCCGGTTTCATTGCCGGTAGATCTAACGCCATCGCTTGCGCAAAGTAAGGGATCCCTTCTCACTATACTCCAATATACCCCATTATTCCGTGGGCCTGAATAATGTCTTTTAGAAAGCCTCTTGAACATTGACACTTGTTGGGAGTGAGGAGAAAAGGATTATCTTGATACCATGGGATGCTTCAAAAGCAAGTTCTGTAATACTGCCAAATTTGAGTATGAATATACAATTTGATTATTGTACCCCTCTCTTTGTTCAGTTTCTTTACAATCCTGAAAACTTAATTGTTCATGATTCATTCACAAAGATAAGTGAAAACGTTTTCTTTTTCACAGTTTCTTAGATAGCCTTTATGAAGAGGACAATTATTTTAGGAGGGGAAGCATGTTACTGGAGCCTTAAGTCACTGAAATTGGCAGTATGAAAAAGGATTTGAAGTCAAAGGGAGTACTTTGGACCCTGAATTTCCAACCTGTTTCTTAGAGATTAACCAGTATAAGATGGCGTTCCTGAAAAATGTAGTATTATTAGTCTTTTAAGGTACAATTCACTGCAAATGAGTACTGTTCTTCATCTCCGCAGTCTTGGAGGGCTAAAGTGATAGAGGGAGAAAGGTAGACTGATGCTTGAAGCACTTTATTTACTATGTTTGAGTAACTTTCTTTTCCATCCCATATAGTGGTTGGAAGAAAACGGAAGTGCACAGGTATTTAACTTGCTGCATTTATGCACAGGATAAGAGTCATGATTTGGGATTACCCTTGTTAAATATTTGATCACTCAGGTTTGCTGTTCTTGTTTTGCACTTTAATTTAGAAGTATTCAGTTTTCTTTGGTTAATAGCATTCCAGTTAGGAAATCAATTTTTTTTTTTTTTTTTTTTTTTTTTTTTTTTTCTTTTTGAGACAGGGTCTCCCTGTAGCCCCAGCTGTCCTGGAACTACGTAGACCAGGCTGGCCTTGAACTCACAGAGATCTGCCTGCCTCTGCCTCCCAAGTGCTCTCCCGAGTGCTGGGATTAAAGGCGTGCACCACCACACCTGGCAAAATCAACTTTTATAGTAATGCATCAGAGGAAGTATAAATTTCAGGTGTATATGCATGAACAGGGAATGAAGTAGTTTGGAAGTTTGATAATTCTTAGGTTTTTTTCCTTTGTGGCTTTATGAGTGATTGACATCATAAATACTAGATTGCTTTTAAGTTATCTGCCCCACTCAACTGTTAGGATGACCAGTAAATGTTGTGCTGCTGCTGCTGCTGCTGTGTGTGTGTGTGTGTGTGTGTGTTTGCTTGCGTTTGCGTTTGCACATGCATTTTTTGGTGGTCCTGGGAATGGAACCCAAGGTCTTGTGCATGCCAGGCAAGTACTCTACCCCAGCCCATAATTGTTTTTTTCTGTATTCATTAGTAGGCTCAGATTTCCTTTATCAGGTTTAGATAAAATGTATTGTTTCTTGAGCCAGTAGCTTTCAGACTTTATTTACATATTCATTTAATGTATTTGGTGGTGGGGATCGAATGGGGTCTCTTGAGTGCTGAACACATACACTACTACTGGGCTATCTTGTAGCCGTAGACCACTGATTTAAAGTGTTTTAGGAGACAGCCAGTGTGTCTGGTTTTCCCAACTATTGTAATTTGAAAAGATGTTGAAAGATGGCTGATAGTTAACTGTAATTAAAATTGTGCATGCCTGTAACCTCAGCACTGAGGAGGCTGAAGCAGCAGGATCCCAAGGCTAGCAAGCCTTGCAAGATTCTGTCTCAAAAAACCAGTAAGTAGAGCCAGGCATGGTGGCTCATGCCTTTAATCCCAGCACTCAGGAGGCAGAGGCAGGCGGGACGCTGTGGGGTTAAAGCCAGCCCGGGCTACATAGTAACCGGGCAACCGGGGGCGTAGGGAGGCCCCGTCATCAAAAGACCCCAAAAAAAACCCCACAAAAAACAACCCCCCGCCCCCCAAAAAACTAGTAAGTAAATAGCCAATACAATATATTGAATTTAATATCTTCTGGACTATTGAGTCACAGAAATGTAGTAGTTACTTATAAGGGGAAATTACTCATGTGAATAACACTAAATTTAAAATCAAGGACTAGTTTCCTCCTTAAGATTTTTCTCTCATATAGCCAGAATTAGAAAAGTATGATCCTGCATTGTAAGTGTTCTAGTTACTTTGAATTGCTGTGATAAAAACTGACTGAAACCAACTTGGGAAGGAAAAGGTTTATTTTATCTTACATCTCCCTGGTCACAGTTCATCGCTGAGGGAACCCAAGGTAGGAACTCAGGACAGGAACCTGGAGCACAGATCATGGAGGATAGCTGCTTACTGGCTTTCTCCCCTGGCAGGTAGTCAACTTACTTTCTAATACAATATAGGACCACCTGCCCGGGGGTGGCACTGCCATGGCGGGCTGGGCCCTTCCACAGACTAGGCCACAGGCCAGCCCAATGAAGACAATCTACCCAGGTGTGTCAAGTTGACAACCAAAGCTATCCAGCACAGTAAGGTAGATCCATGTCTTGGTCTATGATAGGTGTACTTTTGATAAACAAATACTTAAATTTTATATCCAAAATTACAAATTTATTTTATAGAGGAATTACCAATTCTAACCTATTTTCCTTAAATTTGAGAGTTCTTGCCTATTTAAAAGACAAGTTAACTTTCTGGAAGTTAAAAAAATTTTAACTTCATTGTGGAGGTCAGAAGACAACTTTGTGGAGTCAGTTCTCTCCTCCCACCTTTATATGGTTTCAGGGATAAAGTGTTTTTACCCACAGAGCCATCATGCTGGCCCTGGAAGTCTTTTCGCAGAATACCAGTATAGTCTCTTCTGTTGCTGCAGTATTTTGGGGACTAAAGAAGTTTAAGAAGAAAGATCCTTTTTTTTTTTTAATGGCAGGGTCTCATGTAGCCCAGGCTGACTGGCTTATTTTGTAGTTTAATGACCTGGAATTTCTGACCCATCTCCTGAATAACTGCAAGGATCATCTACTTGCTAATTTTTAAAAATAGGTGGTGTTTGAAGTCCTTTTTGTGAAATTTAGACATGAAAAAATAGTGATAACTATCTGTATTTCTCCCACTGGACTATTACTACCATGTTACATTTAAGTGTTTTTTTTTTTTTTTTTTTTTTTTTTTTTTTTTTTTTTTTTTTAAAAAAAAAAAAAAAAAAAAAAGAGGACGATAAATCTTTCACTGTGATATATCAAAATAACTTGAACTCAAAAAGATCCTCCTGCCTCTGCCTCCCAAGTGCTGGGATTTAAGGTGTGCGCCACCATGCCCAGCACATTTAAGTATTTTTAAAATTTTTATTTCATGTGTATGTGTGTACACCTGAGTGTGGGGGGGGGACAGTGTATGCTGTGCTTGTGGAAGCTGGAAGAGGGCCTTGGATCCCCTAGAGCTGAAGTTACAAGTGGTTGTGAACAGCCAGATGTGGGTGCAGGGAACTGAACCCGGCTCCTCTGGAAGAATAGCAAGTGCTCTTAATCACTGAGCTTCTCTCCAGCCCTTAACTTTGTTGTATTTATTCTCAACTTTTTTTTTGGAGGGGGGGAGTCTTTTTGAGACAGGGTCTCCCTGTAGCCCCAGCTGTCCTGGAATTTACTATGTAGATTAGGCTGGCCTTGAACTCACGGAGATCTGCCTGCCTCTGCCTCCCAAGTGCTGGGATTAAAGGCTTGCGCCACCACGCCCGGCTATTCTCAACTTTTTAGAAAATTTTGTTCCTCTAAAATTGTTGGGATATTTTGTGTTCTCTTTCTTAATATATTAGAAGTACTTTCGTATGCTCTTAGTTGCAAACATAATTGCTAGCCTTTGATAAGTTTTTAAAATGTATTTATTTAATATGTATGAGTGTTCTTTGTGCTTGGTCAAACTTGTGAGGAATTAGATAAAATATTAAGATCCAAAATTATTAAGTCTTCTTAAAGGTAAGATGACAGTATAAGTACTATTTGAGAGCTCTGGCATCAGAATTGGGTTTTGTGACAGTGGGTTTTGTTGTTTGTGAAACAGGATCTCATATACTGAGGTTGGCCTTGAATTTCAGATCCTCTGCCTCCATCTCCCAAGTGCCTGAATTACACCAGTGCCCAGCTAGGTGGTTCTTGTTCTTGCTAAGTTTTGTAAATAGAGTATACTTTCATAAACCATAGGTCACATCTGGGCTAGCGGGATGGCTCAGCAGGTAAAGGCCCTTGATACCAAGCCTGATGACCTGAGTTCAATCCCTGAGATTCAGTATGGTGGAAGGAGAGAACGGACTCCTGTGAGTTTTACACCTCCAAGTAGTGTTGTGGCCTGCATATAACCGATCCTTCCCCCCACATACAAACACAATAATTAAATAAGATAATAAAAGTTTTTAAGTCACTCCTAAAGTACAATTTCTATGTATTTACAAAGTTGTTTATCAGTTAATACTGTCCAATTGTAGAATTTTTTCATTATCCCAAAAGACAAACCCCGTAACTTTAGCAGTCACTCCCATTTCCCTTTTTCCCTATTGGCGGCAACCACTAATTTCACAGCAACCACTAATCTGCTTTCTTTTTTTCTTTTTTTGGTCTTTTTTGACCTGTGGCCACAGCTGACATGGAACTCAGGCTGGCCTTGAATTCTTCATGGCTTTTTTTATGTCTGGCATTTTCACTTGGCATAATGTTTGCAAAGTTCATATAGCATGTATTAGTACTGTATGTCATTTTGTGCCCAAATGGTAACTTGATTGTATGGATATACTACATTTTATTATAATTAGAAATGTCCCCAAAATCATAGAAATTGAACAGGTATTCAAAAGGTCTTTAATTTGCTCTTCACCCTCAACGGTAGTAAAGAGGCTTATCATGTTCTAATACAGACTTGCACACAAACAAGCATATTCCTCCCTACCCATCTGTGCCTCAAATGAATCCTTTTGAGAATTAAGATATTATTTAGCCATGTGTGTTGCCACATGCCTGTAATCCCAGCACTTGAGAGGTGGTGGCAAAAGGATCTGGATATCAAGGCCATCCTGGCTACAGTGAGTTTGAGGCCAGGCTAAGCTACATGAGATAGTGTCTTAGAAAACAAAAAAACCCCACAAAATTAAGAGTTGGAGAAAAAAATATCAGAACCACTTTACAACACAGATCTGTATGACTTTAAGTCTTACTTGATATTGAAATGGATTTAGGTTGGGACAGAAGTAGTCTTAACTTCATAAGGAGACTAGGACATAGGTATGTGTTTTCTCCTTAGCATAAAGAGCTTTTATTCAGATGTTGCTGTGTAAATAGTAAATGAAGAATTAATTTGGGGGCTGGGGATATAGCTTATTGGTGTACTGGCTTCTTTGATTCCCAGCAGGCATAAAACCAGCTTGCCTATATCCTGCATTAGACTAGCACTTGGGGAGGTAGAGGCATAGAATCAAAAGTTGAAGGTTTGAGCTGGAGAGATGGCTCAGTGATTAAGAGAACTGCCTGTTCTCCAGAAGTTCCAGGTTCGATTCCCAGCACCCACATGGTAGCTAACAAAGGTCCTTAAGTCCAGTTCTAGGGGATCAAACTCCCTCTTCTGGCCTCAGCAAGCTCTGCATGACATGACACAGGTGCACTTACATGCAGGCAAAACACTCCTACACGTAACATAAAAATAAATTTTAAAAAATTAAGTTGAAGGTCATCTCATTTTCATAGCAAATTTGAAGCTAGCTTGGGGTACATGAGACCTTGTCTCAAAAAGAAGGCACTATGATAGTTTGTGGCACAGCAAGGCTAGAGATTAGATCCAGAGTCTGCTAGAAACTACTCTTTTCTCTGTTAAGGTCTAAAAGGCAAAGTGGAAAGGCATACATGTAGGAAGTGTTGACTGTGGAAGTGAGATATCAGATAATTTCATTTTAACTCATTTGTGCACCAGTTAATATTTTTTCCTTCCCCTAAACAGACAACTTTTGCTTTGAAACTAAATTATTGTTGAATTATTTCTGTATGTAAACTTGATTTTAATCTGTGGTTATCTTCTTCTAGTTGGATTGGATGCTGCTGGCAAGACGACAATTCTGTATAAACTGAAATTAGGGGAGATAGTTACAACCATTCCTACCATTGGTAAGAAAATTTATAGATGATTTTGAAGTTTTGTTAACTTGGGGAAGATATTACTAAAACTTTAAAAAGGCTTCCAAGAGAATTCCACAATAAGGGTTTTATTTTCTTGATGCTTTATTGTGTACCGTTGTCATTTTCATTTTTTCTTGTAGGTTTTAATGTGGAAACAGTAGAGTATAAAAACATTTGCTTCACAGTATGGGATGTTGGTGGTCAAGATAAAATTAGGCCTCTCTGGAGGCATTATTTCCAGAATACCCAGGTAAGACATGCCATATGTTTTATAATTTTTCCTTTTAGATTTCATATTCTAAATTTTATGTTAATATCTAGTGTTTACTCTTGAGTTTGCATTTGCCTCATCTTCAGTCTCATTCTTTAGAAGACTCATGTCTTTGAAAATTAAAGTACATAGTATAGAAGAATTGATAGCTATTCCAGTGAGACTTTGGATTGGAAACAGTGAGGTCTCGAGTGAATTAGGTATCTTATCAATTGTTCTTCATATAACCTTCTGTTCTAGTAACCTTCAATGCATCTAAGACAATGGTAGAGCTTCATTTAGTCCAGTTAAGATGAGTCTGCTATGTTGACTGATAAGCTGTTTTTGTGTTACCATGTAGGATAGCCTTACATATTCCATCCTTAGTGAGCCCATAGATTAGGAATTGCCAGAAAGACAAAAATCCAATCATAGCTCAAAACCATTTGAATTAGAATCTTTGGGTAGGTAAGCCAATGATCATTACTGTTTCTAGCACTTTAATGTGCATGTGAATCACCTGAGTATCTGTTAAAAATACACGTTGATTCATTCCTGAGGTTTTGTACTTCTAGCCAGTCCTCGTGTGCTGACTTTGCTAGTTTGGCTTCCTATAACAGCACTTCTGTTGACATTGTTGGTTGGACCTTGGGAAGGGCTGTCTTGGATTGAAGGATGTTTAATGGCATCCTTACACTACATGTCAGTAGCAGTCCTCCCTTCCCATTAAGTTGTGAGAACTAAACATGCTTGTACGCTTGCACAGAATTCCCTAGGGGCAAAATTACCCCCTGGTGAGAACAACTATTCTAGTCTAATATTCTCATTCATTCATACTTCTCCCCTCCTCACTGTCTTGCTATGTAGCTTAGTCTGGCCTCAGAACTAACACTCCTCTTGCCCAGCCTGAGTGCTGGAATTATAGGTATGCATTATCAAAAAATAAGATATACATAATAATTATGCCTGAGGTCTATTTAAACTTTATACTCCATTATATTCCTTGCAAAACACTACAGATTTTTTCAAAAGATACTGAGTTTAATAATTCTCAGTAGAAATAATGGACATAGACTTGCAATTTGTTAAACTAAGGAACTTATTAAAGATTGAAGCAAAAACTAGGCTTTAGGTGCTCTTGGTGAACCCAGTGCTATGATGATGCTCAGGAGTGAGAGAACATGATGAATTGTCCATTGCTGTCTGCTTTACTCTAGCTGTTTAAGTAAGTGAAGAGCAAGACAGTCTGTTACGGGGTCAAAAGTTCTGTAAGGGTCAGATTGTGGAAAGAATATTTAACCAATCATTTTAGTGCAATAGGAATAAACTTAACAAAGCTGTAGTTTGTTACTGTTTTACTACCTGAGAATTTCATACTGTGCCAACTTGAACACTTTAGAAGTCTTAAATTATTTGCCAGTGCCACTTCTTTTGTAGAATTGTATTATTTGTGAATATCTTTTTTTTTTTTTTTGTCTTTTTGAGACAGGGTCTCCCTGTAGCCCCAGCTGTCCTGGAACTCACCAAGTGCTGGGATTAAAAGCATGTGCCACCACACCCGACTGTGAATGTCTTTTTAAAAATATTTTATTTATTATGTGTATGAGTGTATTGCCTACATGTATTTGAATGCACCCATGTCGTGCAATGCTGTGGAGGTCAGAAGAGGGCTTTGGATTCCCCTGGAACTGGAGTTAAGGACGGTTCGTAGCTGCCATGTGGGTGCTGGGAATCGAACCCGGGTCCTCTGCAAGAGCAGTCAGTGCTCTTAACCGCTGAGCCATCTCTCCAGCCCATGAATATCTTTTAAAAGTCTTATACCTGCTTTTTTGTTAGGAATTTACTTGAGGCCGGATGTGGCACATACCTTTAATCCCAGTACTCAGGAGGCAGAGGCAGGCAGATCTCTTGAGATCAAGGCCAGCCTGGTCTTACATATAGAGTTTTGGTTCAGACCAACTGGAGCTACAGAGAGACCTGGTATCAAAAAAACAAAACAAAATAAAAAAATAATTTATAATTTTCATGAGATAATTTGCTTAGGGCTTCCTTCTGGTTGTATTGTTCACAAGCCACATTTTAGAACAGCACTTTTTTCTTTTCATGGTGAAGGATATAAAAAACTATTAGACGTGCATCCTCTTTTCTTATACATGCCCGTGTGTGTGTGTGGTATGTTGAGACAGAGTCTCATTATGTAACTCTAGATGGCCTACCTCTGCCTCCTGGGATTAAAGACGTGTGCTACAATGACTGCCTTATACACGCCTTTTACTGCATGCATAAATTCCATAGTTTATGATTTTATTGGATCCTTAATTATTTTTCCTTTTTGTCTTCACATTGTAGTGTTTGTTTTCTTTTGAGATAGGGTCTCTTGCAGCTCTGGAAGTCACTATACAGTTGAGGATGTCTGGAACTTGTGCTCCTCCTGCCTCCACCTCCTGAATATTAGGATCAAACAGATGTGCTCCACCACACCCAGTTTGGAGCACAAGCCCAGGGCTTCCTTCACGAAGCCAGGCATTCTACCAGCTGAGCTAGGTCTCCAGACTGTAGCTCTTTTGCTACTTATATTTTCTTGTATTTAAGTATGGTAGGGAAAAGAACAGGATAGCATTTGGTTTTCTTAGTATACTTGAGAAAAGCAGTTGTTAGGTAATAAGAATTATTTTGGACGTGAATTAACAAATTGTAAGTTAAAGTCATATAGTGCTTAAATCAGTTTTCAATATTTGCTCCCTGCATGTTTGTTTGTTGTTTTGAGACAGGGTCTCTTTGTAGCCCCAACTGGTCTGGACCTCACTATGTAGACCAAACTGGCCTTGATCTCACAGAGATCCACCTGCCTCTGCTTCCTGAGTGATGGGATTTTAAGGCATGTGCTACCACACTTGGCTTTGTTTTGTTTTTAATAAGATATTTTCTGTCAGTGTCTTAACTTTCCATAATTTTTTGCTAATATAGTTTACATTTAGTGTGACCTTTAAGTTTAACTGTTGTAATTTATTGAAAACAATTTTCCCCAGGGTCTTATTTTTGTGGTGGATAGTAATGATCGTGAAAGAATTCAGGAAGGAGCAGATGTACTGCAGAAAATGGTAAGTATGTACTTCAAGTTGATCATTTTCAAGATGTGTTTGGGGGTATTGTTAGTGGTTGTTAGTTTTTAGAGGTAGAAATAAATAGAAAAATGTTACTATTCGTGGGCTCCTAAGAATGCACAGAAACCTGATGTGGTGGTACACACCTTTAACCCCAAATCGTACATACCTTTAATCCCAAGTCCTAGGTTTAAAGGCATGCCCTACTGTGCCCAGAAATTTTTTTTTTTTTTTTTTTGGTCTTTTTGAGACAGGGTCTCCCTGTAGCCCCAGCTGACCTGGAACTCACTATGTAGACCAGGCTGGCCTTGGAACTCACAGAGATCCACCTACCTCTGCCTCCCAAGTGCTGGGATTAAAGGTGTGCACCACCATGCCCGGCAGAAAAATTTTTTAATTAAAAAAATTACATGGAAGAGTAATGATTTCAGAAAGTTAGAAGCTGCAGGTTGTTTTTAGAATTTTCTGTGGTTTTGATGCATGTATGTAGTTAAAGAAGTCTAATTTAGCCCAGCCTTTATTTTACAAACATAAAATTTAGGTGGTTTGTTTTGTTTGTGGCAATCTTGGTTGAAATGCCTTTTTCCCAAGGTCATTGGGTTCCATTTTCTCTGTATGGTATGCTTATAATTACTTCAAGAATGCTTTATGATAGCAATCATGATAAAGATGGACCTAAAAGTAGTGGTCATTTGGTTAACAGTGACATTTTATTTTAGCCTTGCCATTATTGAGCTAACGTTTTTATGTATTCATGATGTTAAGAATCCTGACATCAGGAAAAAATTATTGAAGAACTTCCTCATTGTTTCAAACTTAGAGCCATGAAATATTTACAAAATAGAAACCACACTTTTTATTCATTGCTTCTATGACTTTGGAGTACAGTCTATAAAGCTAGTTTGCATTACATGTTAACCAAGTCATCAACCTCTGTGTAGCCAGCCAGCTAACCAACCTACCTCCCTCCCTGCCTCCCTCCCTCTCCTTCCTTCTTTCCTTTTCTGTTTTGAAAGTATCTTATGTAGCCTAGGCTTCTTAATGTAGCTAAGGATGGCCTTGAATTCTTCATCTTCCTTTCTCTACCTTCTGAGTCCTGGGGTTATAGGGATATGTCATCTCACCTAGCTTTACTTTTCTATTAATAACTATTTTGAGATAAAATTCACATGTCAAATATTTCACTTTCTGAAAATGTTCAGGTCATTTGTCTTTAACAAAGCTTTATAATCATCCTCACAGTTTTAGGAAAATTTTCACCCACTTCCTATCCCCCTTCAAAAAGACTCCTGGAACCATTTAGTAGTTACTTTCCATTCCCTGCTTCTCCATTCCACATCTCTGGCACCTGACAAACCACTCATCCACTTTCTGTCTTCAGACAGTCAATTGTACATATTAATATAAGTATAATCATTTAATATGCGGTTGTTCATAACTGGCTTCTTTCACTTAGTATAATAGTTTCAATGTTTATCCACATTATATAATGTTACTTATTTATACCAACTTTTTTATGTGTTCTTGGTATGTTTCCTCCACTAGAAAGGATAAGTCTGGAAAAGAATTATACCTAAATGCTAGTGCTACTGAATACCATATGGTCATGGCCTTACAGATACCATTCTAATGTGTATTTCATGTCCTTGTCAATCCTGAGCCTGGGTGGGTAATCATGAAGGCTTTCAGAGTGATACAGCTTAATGATATGTAGGATGATGGTCTTAAAACAGTGTCGCTGCAGGCAGGATGGCACAGGCCTGATTCTCAGCACTGTGGAAGCAGAGGCAGGAAAATCTTAATTTGGAGGCTAGTCTGGGCTACATAGTGAGACTCTGTCTCAAGATAATCCCCTCCCTAAAAAAAAGTAAACAATTTTGCTTTGCTTAAAGGCATATCACTTATTTTTTTCTTATTTTGAAAACTGAAGGATGTAACATTTAAGTCATAAGAATGCATGACATTTACATGGAGAAATGTGTTTGGTGTTGGGTATTAAAATGTTGAATAAAAGGCATATTTAGAAAAACTACTTTGAATAATTCATTCCAATGTTTAGGTTCTGGTTTGGCAGTTGCTAATGGCTTAGCCTTTCTTTGCAGCTTCTGGAGGATGAGCTGCAAGATGCAGTGCTGCTGCTTTTTGCCAACAAAGTCTTATTTTTGTGGTGGATAGTAATGACCATGAAAGAATTCAGGAAGGAGCAGATGTGCTGCAGAAAATGCTTCTGGAGGATGAGCTGCAAGATGCAGTGCTGCTGCTTTTTGCCAACAAACAGGATTTGCCAAATGCCATGGCCATCAGTGAAATGACAGATAAGTTAGGACTTCAGTCTCTTCGTAACAGAACAGTAAGTACTTAAGAATGACTCGAACCTCCTTGCTATTGGAGTTGCAGATAATTATGAAGCTAATACTCAGTTTAAATGTTGAATCATTATCTCCTTTGAACAGATAATGATGACCTTTGTAAAAATACAGTAATAGTGGTCTATAGAAAACATGTAACAAACACAAAAAATCAGCACTCTTCATGCTTTATTTCAAAACTGTAAATACTGCATTGAACTTTGCTTTAAAAACATTGATAACGCTAGGGTGTGATGGTGCACACCTTTAATCCCAGCACTCAGAAGGCGCTGGGGGATCTCGGAGTTCAAGGCCAGCCTGGGCTATATAGTGACACCTTGTCTCAAAAATAAACATTTTCTAACTTTTAATATTATCTTTTACGGATCCAAAGATTTTTATATCTGCATTTGATTTTTATTAACTTTATCTTCAATATTGATGTTAAAATTACCAAGAATTGAGTATGTCAAGATTACTGACATTCTTAAATTTTAAATCATTCAAATAGGCCTCTAGTTTTTATTTTTTTAAGATTTTTTTGTTTTTTTATTGTATCTTGTGGTGCTGGGTTTTAAACCCAGAGTTTTTCATATATTAGGGCAATCAATGCTACTGAACAGCTTGGCAAATATTTCAAACTTCGTTTTCTTTTTTGGAGACAGGTCTGTCTTATACAGCCCATCTTGGCACTCAACTTGGGGAAATCCTGCTTTTGTCTGAGTGCTGGGCTTACAAGGCATGTGCTACCTCAGCCAAAGGCCCAGTATTTAGCAGCTATGTATTAGATCATATTATTTAGTACTCTTTGCTTTTTTATTTTTATTTTTTCGTTCTTTTTTGAGACAGGGTTTCTCTGTAGCGCCAGCTGGCCTGGAACTCACTATGTAGACTAGGCTGGCTTTAACCTCAGAGGGATACGCCTGGCATTCTTTGCTTAATAACATCAAAAGTTTATGGAGGGACCTCTACTGATAATGTGTTGGAGTTAAATTTGAATGTAAAATTATAGGAAATGTACCTGCTGTCAAATAGCTTATCATTTTACATCCATGATTGAGGTAGTAGCAAAATATGGTACATCTATATATATTGTACCACAGTAGTGAAAACCAACTGAAAAAAAACAAAAACAAAAATGCTGTACTAATGACATCATGTACTTTGCAACAGTATTGCATTAATTTGTCCAAAAGGAAGGTACTATTACATGGCCTGCTTGAGTTGGCCACACTGATTTAAACAAGATAACCTGTAAGTGATACAAATTTTTCAAATACTGTAGAGGTCTGAATTCTGGGTTACTGGGATATTTGTTACTAAAATAATGGGCAATGTGGTATACCTACAGTGGCCTTATAAGTTTTTATCTAAGGAGAAAGAAAACAAGTCAATTAAAAAAGAATAAAAAGAAATTATTCCTTAAAGGTGAATTGTTTTCTAGGTGATTGGGTTTTGTGTTTTGGGGTTTGGTTTTTTGATACTTAAAACTGTATTGCATTGCATACAAGTAATGAAGATTTTTACTTTTAAAACATGGAACTTTTTGGAATGTATGAGGCCAAAGATAGTAAAACTATCTGAAAAGTTTTTCTCTAGACTATCAACAAATGCTTTTTAGAAATTTATTCCTTTGGACTAGCAATGTGGCCTAATGGCAGAGAATTTTCCTAGCATGTATGAGACCCTGAGTATAATCTCTAGCACTGCAAAAATTAAAATTTTTAAAATTTAAATACCCCTCCCCTTTTAAATAATAATCCCAGCACTTGACAGGCAGAGGCAGGTGATCTGTGAGTTCTAGGCCAGCCAAGACTACATAGTGAGACCCTGTCTTAAAGGATGGTGTTGTCGGGGAGGGGTGTTAAGCTAGTATTCTGCTTAGTTTTATGAAGTGGGACTCTTAAGGACTAGGTGGGTAGTTTGTTTGCAATTTCTCCATGACTCTTCTGCAGCAGGTTGAATGGGGGGAAGATGAGCCGAATCCAATGAATGTGTGACTTTTTAAGTGTGGGGTAGGGTGAAGAGCAAGAGATGGGAGAAAATTTCTAAAGGATCATTTTGAGTGACCTTTGTAGTCACTGAGAGCCTTAACTAAACGTTTGTGAAATGTAAGGTGATGACTTAATTACATTTATTCCTGTGGTTTTATAGTTTCTGTATTTGTATATATTTATGGTAACTGCTTACTCAGTAGTACCCATGGGCATTTATGGGGAGGGACTTAATTTCTTAAGTTAGAAAACTGTAATTATATGTTATCTTGTTAATCAAGTATTTTCTTGTCCTTTCTTCACAGTGGTATGTCCAAGCCACTTGTGCTACACAAGGAACTGGTCTGTATGAGGGACTCTGCAAGATGCAGTGCTGCTACTTTTTGCCAACAAACAGGATTTGCCAAATGCCATGGCCATCAGTGAAATGGCAGATAAGTTAGGACTTCAGTCGCTTCGTAACAGAACATGGTATGTCCAAGCCACTTGTGCTACACAAGGAACTGGTCTGTATGAGGGACTCGATTGGCTGTCAAATGAACTTTCAAAACGTTAAACGAAACTGGATATCTAACCAAGGACATGTTTGATAGAATTGGTCTATAGGCTTATTACAACAAAATTAGTTTGCATCTTGGTTATTAAATGATATCTGGGACTAAGGTTTGGGCAGACTATTACAGCGTTTAAAACTTATTTTGTTGCCAATTATTGTTTACCAAGCATGTTGCTATTTAGCAATATGCTTGGTTTTAAAAGAATTTCTTGGGGAAAAAGTATCCATTAATTTTACTTCCCTTAAGTCTAAATGCCTGGACATAGATATTGTGACACCTTTAAATGAATCCATTTTGAGTGTTTTTTGAGCCCACACCAGTAATGTTTTAAAGTTATTCCCTTGCTACTTAATGATACTTTTATCATTCCTAGGACAGTCTGCTGATTTTAAAATGTAGCATTCCATTTGTATTTATTTCTACCCCTTGCCAAAAAAGATTTTTCTAATACTACTTGTACCAGCCAGGGACATACTCCAAAACACTATTCAGTCTTCTTGCCATTTTTCTTCCATTATTGACTCCCGATTTCCATCAGCTAAACGTAATAATGTGGTTTGGAGTTGATAGCCAATTCTCTGCTGGTTGCAAAGAGTTCCTATTGAGATGATTTTTAATGCTCAGCAGATTGTCTTCCTTTATATTGTTACCTTTTTTATGTTGCATGTTGCTTTTGGAATCAACCTGACTCTTTTGCCCAGTATATGATAGTTCTGCTGATATCTTACTGTTTATTGGTGAACATATCTTCCTTAAGAGTTTTTTTGAAAACGCCTCAAATTCAGTGAATTAAGTTTTCTTCATAACCCATTTGGAATTATTCCTAATAAAATGATAAAATACGTAATTGTGTTATGTTCTTTGAGTCTTGAGAATACGTGAAATGGATTTTCTTACATAACAAAGTTGATTTGCATATTCTACATGCTATGGTCAATAATACAAATCTCAATGAATTCACTAATGGTTAAAGTTGGAAATAAGTTTAACTATGGGTTATATTGTGTATCAACGTAAGGTGCAGCACAGAGAATTTTGTTTTCTCTGATAGAATGCCAATGTGCGGCTGTAAAGTTCAAAAGTCAGATCAAAAGCGAAAAGTTGTAATAACATGAACTCTGGTATGAAGGGGCTGGAAGTAAAAAGCTCAGTTGGTAGAGTGCTTGCCTGGCATACACAGAGCCTTGAGTTTGATCTCCAGCACCACATTCTACAGGTGGAGGCCAGAGCTTCAGAAGTTCAAGGTCATCCTTCACTTCATAGTGAGTTTGAGGCCAGTCTGAGAAACAGATAAAATGTTTACTTTCTCAAAAAAGTAAAATTAAAAAGTGGGGTTTGAGCTGGGCATGGTGGTAAGGCAGAAGCAGGTGGATCTCTATGAGATCAAGCCCAGCTAGACCTACAAAGTGAGTTCCAGGCCAGCTGGGAGTACAGGGAGTCCCTATCTCAAAAAGACAACAACAAAAAACAACACAACTAGCGTTAGGTTTCTTTCCTCAGTTGCTGCCTGCCAGGTGTAGTGCAAACTGTGTTGCTCTAGAGAACGGTCTTCAAGCACACTGTAACAGCATTTCAGAATTTCAACACATGCAAATTCTTTGTTAATGAGGCAATAAAAGTAATATAGTCCAAAACTATATTAGCGATATAATTTAGTTTTTATTTTAATGTTTTATATATTAGAAGTTGTTTATAGTTCTTAATGGCTTTTATAGATTCAAATAAGCTTATGGATCAGAAGTTTATTTCTAAAACCAAATACATGCTTATAAAAATGTCTGTCTTTAAATTGTTCATAAAATAAAATCTAATAAATATAGCAAAAATACATTGAAATTAAGCAGTTTATGAATGTCCAAAGTAGATTACTGGGATTAAAGTGTGTTCAACTAGCCTGTTTTGATTTACGTGACTTGATTTGGCAACTTTTCAAACCCATCACACGAATTCTCCCTATTTTTTCAAGTAAGAGAAGTCTCATTTCTTGTTGGAGAAAACTAAAAAATATGGTACAATATGGTTTTTTTTTTGGGGGGGGGTCTTTTTGAGACCGGGTCTCCCTGTAGCCCCAGCTGGCCTGGAACTCGCCATGTAGACCAGGCTGGCCTTGATGTCACAGAGATCCACCTGCCTCTGCCTCCTGCTTGCTGGGATTAAAGGAGCCACCACACCCAATAATATATTAATGGGATATAAAGTAGGAAATACAAAAATAAGTTTAGGCGTAGGATCATAAATTGCCACTATATATTTAAAAACAGTCATTTAAATTAAAGGTACCTTGTGAGTTTCAAAGCAAGTACAGGATCCATATAATTTATTTGTAATATAAAACAGCTCTTAGTGTCATTGAAAAGAACTAATAATAAACAGTATTTGCTTTCTTTACAACTAATTTCACTGAAAAAGATTTATAAGATTGCTTCTTTTGGGGGGCTGGGGAGATGGCTTAGTACCAGTACTCACATGGCTGCTAACAACCATCTGTAATTCCAGTCCCAGGGGACTCTGACACTGTCTTCTGACCTCCATGGCCATTGCACATGGGTGCACTTACATGCAAGCAATACATTTCACATAAAAATAATAGGCCAGGCGTGGTGGCGTGCGCCTTTAATCCCAGCACTCAGGAGGCAGAGGCAGGCAGATCTCTGAGTTCAAGGCCAGTCTGGTCTACATAGTGAGTTCCAGGATAGTTGGGGCTACAGGGAGACCCTGTCTCAAAAAGACCAAAAAAAAAAAAATTTTTTTTTGGAAATTATTTTTCAAATCAAATTGAGAAATTTTACTGTTTTGAGCTTTGAGGAAGAGCATAGATTGTGAGTTGATCCTAAAAATGCCATTTCCTTCTCTGTGTAAAGTTATAAAACCATCATCCCTGTTACAATTTAAGTGTTCAGTCATCAAGTATTTAACACTGTTAAGATTCAATGCTTATGGCTGGAGAGATGGCTCAGCAGTTAAGAAGACTAGTTGTTCTTGCAGAAGACCGGGGTTCAAATCCCAGTACCCACATGGCAGCTAACAACTGTAACTCCAAGTTCCAGGGGATCTGACAGCCTCTTTTAAGTCCTCCGCGGGCATTGCACGACACGGGTGCACTCACCTATATGCAGGCAATACATGCATAAAAATTTTAAAAAAGCAGTGCTTATTGTTCACTCAGATGTTAAACTTAGTGTTAGCCAATCAATGAGATGTCTGAGTGACCTATATTAAATAGCTGATTGTGCCCCTAGACTAAAATATATTCTATGGCGTGACTGTTGGATATGTTAATATTAGGGAAACTGAAAAGAAACTGGTTCCTTCAAAAGCTTACTTAAGCAGCATCAGAACTGAAGATAGTCCTATTATGTTTTCTATTTTTGGTCAGTGGTACTCATTGTCTTTTTAATATTTATTTTTATGTGTATGTGTGTATTGTCCGCATGTGGGTAAGTGCACCCATATCTTGCACTGCCCACGGAAGACAGAAGAGGCTGTCAGATCCCCTAGAACTGGAGTTACAGTTGTTAGCTCATTGTCTTTTTGTCTGGCTGATTTTCTATGATGTAATAGCTTGATACTGTTAAAATTTTTAATTTCTATGGAGTTCTCCATTTACCTATTCTTTGTTGAAAGTAGCACTTAGATGAACTATTTTATTTACCTTGATTATCAGTGTTTCATTTAGAGACTTCTTGTTTAGATCATCAGAGGTACAGAATTACATTAGATATCACAGGATCAAGCTTTTTTAAAGCAATTTAAAAAAATTTTTTTTTGGTCTTTTTGATACAGGGTCTCCCTGTAGCCCCAGCTGGCCTGTCACTCCTATGTAGACCAGGCTGGCCTTGAACTCACAGAGATCTGCCTGCCTCTGCCTCCTGAGTGCTGGGATTAAAGATGTGCGCCATCACGCCCGGCCATATTATTCTATGTGTATGAGTGTATTGCCTGCATGTATGTGAGTGCACCTGTGTCGTGCAGTGCCACGGAGGTCCGAAGAGGGCTTCGGGATTTCCCTGGAACTGGAATTAAGGACAGTTTGTAGCCACCGTGTGGGTGCCGGGAATCAAACCCGGGTCCTCTGCAAGAATAGTCAGTGCTCTTAACTGCTGAGCCATTGCTCCAGCCCCGGATCAAACTTTCTTAAATGTGGAGTTCTGATTCTCTGTCAAGGAACTTTGAAAGCAAGTCTTTACATTTCACAGTATCATGCTGAATGTTTGAATAATATAGTTTTCAACTTTGAGAAAATAGAAATATTGGAAGCAAATGGTATATGTACTAGTACATTGACTAAAGAGCTGATGTAGGAAAAATGAAGCAGGTCTAGTATCTGATCCTTAGAAATTTCAGTTATGAAAATGTAGTTGGAAATAATCCACTACCAGCATTTTACCTTCTCTAGGGATCCAGAGTTGGTGTCAGATAGTAGTGGTAGACTCTTCCTAGACAGCATTTATATAATCAGCTTACAGTGTTTGAAATTAAATAATAGCTTTACATTCTTTAAAATTTTTGTGATCTATTTTTTTTTTTTGTATGAGTGCTTTGCTTGCATGTATGTAAGTACATGCATGCAGTGCCTATGTTGGATCCCCTAGAACTGGAGTTAAGAGCAGTTGTTAGCTGCCACTGAACCAAGGTCCTCTGCAGAGAACTCTTTTAACTTCTGAGTCATCTCTCCAGCCCCCACCTTTATTTTTTTATTTTATTTTTTTTTTTGTCTTTTTGAGACAGGGTCTCCCTGTAGTCCCAGCCTACCTGAACTCACTATGTAGACCAGGCTGGCCTTGAACTCACAAAGATCTGCCTGCCTCTGCTGGGATTAAAGGCGTGCACTATCACGCCCAACTTTTATTTTTTAAAACGAAATATGTATGAGTGTTTGCATGTAAGTGCACCTGTGCATTCAATGCCTGTGGAGGCCAGAAAAGGACAGGGCATTGGATCCCCTGAAACTAGAGTTAAAACAAGGTTGTTAGCTGCCATGTGAGTGCTGGACATTGAACCCTGGTCCTCTTCAAGGGTGGTCAGTCCTCTTAGCCACTGAGCTATCACTCCAGCCCTGCCCTAACTTTACATTTTTAATATCCTTAATATAAACCTTAGAAAAAAACATTTAAAATTCTTTAGTTTGTGGTGTGTATATGACTACATGTGTGTACATGAATAGAGGTCAGGGCAACTTTCAGAAGTTGGTTCTGGCTTTCTACCTTGTTTTGAGGTAGTCTCTCATTTCTGCCATGCTGTGCACTCCAGGCTAGCTGTCAGTATGCTTCAGGGCAGGTCTCCTGTCTGCCCCCCAATATCACCTTGGGAGTGCTAGGATTACAGATTTAAACCACTGCATAAACAAGGGTTCCAAGGATCAAATTCAGGACGTCAGGCTTGTGCAGCAAGGACTTTTACCTGCTGAGCCATCTTGCTGACCCCTAAATATTTTAAAAGGCTACATTAATGAGTGGAATTAAGACTTACCTCTACAATTTGTGTATTCAACTCTAATCTTTTTAATGTATTTCATCAGTTTGCATATAGGTTCCTATAGTGGCTACTATAGGAGGTTATTGGCTACTTTTGTTACTTTGAGGCAAATGATCCTGTATCTTGTTTCCACTGTCTATATAAAAAGTAATTGGTTAGCCAGGCATGGTGGTGCACGTCTTTAATCGCAGCACTTGGGAGGCAGAGGCAGGTGGATCTCTGTGAGTTCAAGGCCAGCCTGGTCTACATAATGAGTTCCAGGACAGCTGGGGCTACAGAGACCCTGTCTCAAAAAGTAATTGGTTAAATTGTAGCACTGTAGACTCAGCGAGTAGAATACCAGGATTCAGGCCAAAAACTATAAACTGGTGATGTCTTATAGGTCATTGCTATGGAAAAGGGAAATGGAGTGCCTACCTTGGCAGCCATGTCTCTGTTCTAATGGCATGCATTCATTTTACTTGGCATGTAAGGAGCTATTTGGTTACAGTGGTTCTGTTCTGGACCAGACTAACTGCTCTTCATCTAATAGGGTGTACAGTAGTTCTATCCACACTTTTATGTGCATGTGTGTAATGCCTGCATGTGTAAGTGCACCTGTGTCCTGCACTGCCAATGAAGATCAGAAGAGGGTGTTGTATTCCCTTGGAACTGGAGTTATGGACAGTTGTTAGCCACCATTTAGGTGCTGGGACTTGAACCTAGGTCCTCTGCAAGAGCAGCCAGTGCTCTTAACCACTTAGCCCTCTCCAGCCCCCTATCCACACTTTAAAAAAAATATTTAATTTTTATGTATATGAGTGTATAGCTTACATGTATTTAAGTGCACTCGTGTCATGCACTGCGTGAGGTCAGAAGAGAGCATCAGGTTCCCTGGAACTGGATTGCGGACAGTTGTTAGCCACCATGTGGGTGCTGGGAACTGAACCCAGGTCCTCTGCAGGAGCAGCCAATGCTCTTAACCATTGAGCCATCTCTCCAGCCCCCTCAAATTAGTTTCTAAGGAACCTTTGCCTATGTTCATAGTTATAGAAGATCTAAAACCATCAATTTCTATCAGGGAGATCTTGCCACAGTAGTGTCCTTCCAGTCTTTTTTACTGTTTTATGTTCCACAAAGATCTCTCCAGCTCATTCTGATGAGAACACGTCTTAGTACTCAGAATTAAAAAAATAAAAACTGCATTATAGCCAGAAATGATCTTTTTGTAATGCATTACAAATATTACTGGGACATCTGTGTAGTTGATTTTAACAGAAAAATAGCAAAAAGTTTGGTTTCATTCATATTTAAATTTCCTTTTATAATACATAATGTGGCATTGTTCTATAAAATATCACTTGTAGTCAATATAAAATTTTGAAATATTACAAAGTTATTAGACTTCTCATATTTATTAAATGTACTAAAAATTCCAAATGTAATAGAAAAATCACAATAGCTTTAAACATTTCTGAGTAACAGTCCTACCTCATTAGTAGAAGTAAATTTTGGCATGCTATTTATAGAATTTTCCAAGTGTTCCCTATTTTTGGATTCCAGTTGCCCTAGAATATCTGGATGCTAGAGATTTAAGAGTCACATCTTTAAAATAACACTTTATTATCTGAACATCCTGAAATACCTGTACGTAATCTGATCACACTGTTTAATCCACAAATATCAAATTTAAGGATTTAGGATGTGGGAAGTTTGATGAGTTTCTGAGACCATAGTTCTATCAAGCCAACCATGGAGTTAATACACAATCTGTGGGCGTGAGTAATCTCACAAATGTTCTTGCTGATTTACTGTTTTCTCTTTAAAAGTTAGTGAAGACTGTCAACATACTTGTTTGAAAGCAAACAAATTTTTAAAAAAGAGCTGCTGATAAGGCTCAGTGGCAGTCTGTGTGGTTAGCATGCTCAAGATCTTGGTTCAACCCCCAGGTGCAAAGAAAGAGAATTTTTTTGGTCTTTTTGAGACAGGGTCTCCCTGTGGCCCCACTGGCCTGGAACTCACTATGTAGACCAGGCTGGCCTCGAACTCATGGAGATCCACCTGCCTCTGCCTTCTGTGTGCTAGGATTTAACATGTGCACCACTATGCCCGGCCAGAAAGAAAATTAAGAAGGAAAATGTTTTGCAAAAGCATCAGTTTCTCACTGTATTTATAAACTGCCATCAAAATGCTCTTTTAAAAAAATGGCATGTAGGTGGCTGGGAATGTAGCTTAGTGGCAGCCCTGAATTTGATCCCCAGCATATGAAACAAAAACCCCCACATCACCATATTTAAGAAGGCACAATTTGGTAACATCAAATTTTTTTTAACCAGTTTTTAAAAGGAAGATTCCAAGAAACTGCCACCTTAATCTTTTTCTTCAAATAATTTAAATAAAAGTTCAATGTGAAGTGCAAGTGTGAAATGCTTATATCTAAACTTCTAAGCTTAAGGGTATCTGACAGAATATGAAAACAGACTACATTTAGAGTTAGAAGACTAAAGGAACACTACATTATCATAAGAGGAAAGTTTTCATGGCATTGGGTTCAGAGATTAAAGAATCTGAAGCAAGGCTATTCATGACTGGAAAAATCGGACCTGTCCTAAGGTGAGCACTTTCACTAAGGTAGAGATTGCAGGAATAGGAGATACACTACAGTTATTCTGAACATTAAAGGCACCAGCTAACAGATATGGTGACAAATTGGGTTGGTATATCCTAGTTATCCTTCTAAACACTAATTAATACAACCTGTAACTTCTAATTTTAAAAAGTTTGGCTTGATATTTAAATTTCTTCACAATATATAAACAAACTATAATGCTTGTCTATAAATTTTATTTCACATAAGGACAATGCCCCACTGTCTCCTTTCTTTTTATGTAGCCCAAGCTGGTCTTAGTTCTTTATATAACCCAGACTAGTCTTGAACTTGTAGCAGTTCTCCTGCCTCAATCTCCAGAGAGCTAGATTACAGGTGTAGCACATCATGCCCACCTCCTTCCTATTTATATAGTGACAATTTTGAAAACACTTGTACCATAGAAATGTTTAATGGTTTATCCAGTCTGAAGGCCATCAGTAATTTCTTATACAATAATTGTGCTTATTTTATATATGATTAAGTACCCTGTTTATGACTATTTTTCATGAGCAAGAGTAATTTAAGACAAAGGGATAAGGTTACATTGCCACTCTAAATACTAAAGTGTGCATGCACCCTAACATTAAAATGAGCCCAAGTATGAATGAGAATACAGATCTGTGCATCTGCACTAATCTGAACACTACAAAATGAAATGCTAAATAGAGTCTGAAAAGGCGCAAACATGGAGAAGCAATAACAATTGGTAATGGTGTATTTTTATCTTTTGTTAAAGCTCCAGAATTAGAACAAATTCTAACCAAATTGAGGTAGTGGTAGATTCTGATGTATTCCAAGTGTCAGGACTGAAGTCTCCAACCTTTAAACCTGTATGCTCCCAATTATATGACCATAATTCAATGTGAGATGTGTTATGAATAAAAAATCGTGAGTATTCAAATGGCACTTTGAAAATTCTTAACAGTTTAAAAAAAAAAACACTTGTAATTCAATTTTTCTTCTTGCTACTAATAAATATATTTGTTTTCCTCCAAGTGTAGGAAATAAAAAAAGGACAAAGAAATGATATGATGCAAACATGAATTAGTTTTGTGACAAAGCCACCTGGAACATAACTAGTAGGGAATGACCATAAACTTTTACCTTAGTGTCTAGATTTCCTCTTTGAGGGAGGAAATATATAAGCTTTGATTCATATTAAATTTTCTGAAAATTAACTTTCCAGACTTCTATCCATTAAGCGAAATCTACTTCCATTTTAAATCACATACAAGTGCGATGTGATCAGAAGGATGAGAAACACTAGGTAAGGCCTGGTGGGTGGTAACTTCTTCATGAGTAGGTAATGGAATCACCTGCTCAACCTCTAAAGCATTTGAGTCAATGAAAATGTAATCTAGACATCCATGAAAGCCACCAACATAATTTGTGTAAGCAGGTTCACCACAAGCACTTTTCAGTTTGAAGAAATGTGTGAGAGACATGTTGCATCTTTCCTCTTCCCCACTGGAAACCCAGTCTTCATGATCCTCTGAGATGCTGCCATTGATGACAAAATGATACATTCCTGTTGATGGTGTGCTGTTAAAGTCTCCACAAAATATAACTGGTATACCAGGATACAGATCACATGAGATATGTCTAATGTGAACCAAGGCTACTGCCATTTGAATGAGACGAATGTATCCACCTACAAATAAAAAAATGGTGTGAGTACTCTTTAAAGTTTGTTTTTTAAAGCCTCACAAACTATAGTGTCCTGGTAACATTAAGGTATTTAGTGTGTCTGGGTGCATATGCCATGGCGCCCATGTAGAAATTGGAGGACAAACTTAGGTGAGTTCTCTCCAACTCGGGGATAGAACTCTGGTCATTGGATTTGGCAGCAAGCACTTTTAATTAAGTCACCCACATTATCTGGTAGGAATTAATGATAAATGTCTCTATTGGGTTGGGTTATTGGCATGTACCTGTAATCTCAGCACTGAGGAGGCTGAGGCAGGAGGATTTTAAGTTCTAGGACAGTTTGGAAAAAAAAAATCACATGCCTTTAGTCCCAGTACTTGGGGGGGCAGGGAAAGGGGGTGGCCGCCAGCGGTAGGCAGATGTCTTTAAGAGGCCAGCCTGGTCTACACAGCAAGTTCCAGGCTAGCTGGGGACACAGGAAGACCCCGTCTCCCAAACAAGCAAAACAGATTTGTGTAAAACAACTTTGGTAACCTTAGTCATTTGTAAAACTAAATAAAACCTACCTTTTGGGTGCCAGTAGAGATGGGTATTAGCAACACATATCTTTTTAGAAGAGTCCATTGTAGATTGAAGAACTGAAATCTAAAATAACAGGAAGTGCCAATAGTTTAGTTGGTGCCAATTTACAGAAGGTTCCTTAAGACTCTATGATGTGCTGTTTATTCCGTATCTCCTTCCTAAACTAAGATCACAATCATTAAATCTAATGTTATGTAAGTTTTAATGTGTCAATATGATTAAATGTAACATTTTAGTAACAGTCCAACATATAGAGCTGTGGAAAAATACATTTTAGATAACAGCGTTAAAATTAGAGACTGTTTTCAAGTGGGTAAGCACAAGCTCCGGAGTCCAGCAGACCCATTGGAACAGTCTAGCATTTATCGCTGTGTGCCTTGGTGCAAGATACTTTTTAGTGTCATAATGGTAGAGAGACTGTTCATTGCCTCATCCTGGCTTTCGTGTGTATTCAATTAAATAACTTGCACACCAGTGCAGAACACAGTGGCACTCAAAAAAGAAAAAAAAACAGCTCATTTTACTTGGAACAGAACCAATTAAAGCTTTGGACAAAAAGAAAGTGTTCTTAAAAAAAAAAAAAAAAACTAATAAAGAGTTAAGTAAGCTGGGCGTGGTGGCGCACGCCTTTAATCCCAGCACTGGGGAGGTGGAGGCAGGCGGATCTCTCTGAGTTCGAGGCCAGCTTGGTCTCCATAGTGACTCCAGGACTGCTGGGCTACAGGGAGACCCTGTCTCAAAAAGACCAAAAAAGTAAAACAGTTCACACCCAGACCCCTAGTTAAGAATCCTGGCTCTGCGCTTCTGTGAACCTCAGGACACGTGGCCATTTCCCCACTTATAAAACTAGAACAACAGCTATAAGTCAGTCCAGAGGTTACTGTGGAGGGCTAAAAAGCCAATGAGTATTTTTTTTTTTTTTTTTTTTTTTTTTTTTTTTTTTTTTTTTTTTTTTTTTTTTTTTTTTTTTTTTTTTTTTTTTTTTTTTTTTTTTGAGGAGGTCAGAAAAGGCTGTCGGATCCCCTGGAACTGGGGTTACCGACAGTTGTTAGCTACCATGTAGGTATTGGGATTCGAACCCGGGTCCTCTGCAAGAATAACCAGTGTTCTTAATCGCTGAGCCATCTCTCCAGCCCCAGCCAATGAGCATTTAAAAAAATACTAGTTAAAAGGAAACGTCTTAAAACCACCCGGTATTTACACTTGTAACTCCTCTAAAATGTGCCCAAACAGCGCTTGCCAAGTAGTGGGAAATCACTGGCTCTCGCGACTATTCTTGAATTTAGTGTGTATCTCGCCCCCCAGGCTGCGAGCACTATCGGACTCGTGCTGGGTTCGAGGCAGGCTGCAGTGCGGAGGGTGCTTAGCGAATGCGTGTTGAGTGAACACACGGCTCCACTCGGAAGGCACAGGAACCCACTAGATGAGGCCTAGATGGTGGCTTTAGGAGCACCAACGCCATCCCTCCGCCGGCCACTCGAGGCGCGGATTCCACCCACGGGCTTCACCTGAAGGACGGAAGATCTCTGCAGCACCTTCTCCAGAGCCAGGGGGTGCAGTTGCAGTTTCTCCAGCAGTTCTCGATGCAGGGGATCGGACTCCAGGGCTTCTTGGAAGGAAATGTCGTGCTGGCTAAGAAGGCTGAACTTGGACTTCCGGTAGAAGGTGGCCAGGCCCTCGTGCTGCTTGATTCGAAACACGCCCCGCAGCCCGAAGGCCTCAAGGGCGGGCACCAGGCTATCACAGAACACGGCGCGGTCGACCTCCTGCAGGCAGATAAGGTCAGCGTTGTAGCCAGTGAGCTCCTTCTGGATCAGGTTCTGCCGGTAGTCGAGTTCCAGCGCGTAGGGCGCGCAGTACGGGTACAGCACGGTGCGCGAGAACTCGGTCTGCGCGTAGGTGTCGGCCAGGATGTTGTAGGATACCGTGCGCACCGACGCGTCGGCTGTCACCTTCTTGGTGTACAGGTGCCGGTGGTCGAAGGTACAGGTGCCGGGCCCCGCCTCCACCGGACACACGCTCTCCAGCTCGTGGCTCGGCCCGAAGCGCTGCCCGTTGCCCGGCGTGCACTGCAGCTTGAGCCGCAGCCCGACGTCCGCGTTGCTCGGCGTGTACACGCGCTGCTCCACGCCCGTCTCGGCCCACGTGAGAGTCGGCGCGGACGCGGCGCTGCTGTCCCCCGTCTCCGCGGCTCCGGGCCCGACTTCCTTGTACCAGCGGAAAACCGAGCTGGCGGGATCCCCAAACTCCAGGCTGAGCTTGGGGCACACCGGGAAGCCTGCCATGATGTAGCGCGGCAGCTGCAGCTCGGTGAAGGCGGGCGGGTTGCGCTCCACCTTGTACTTAACGTCGCCGATCTGCAGTACTGCGCCGTCCTGCCAGGCGTCCACGTTGAGCACGTCCTCCGCCACGGCCTCTTCCCGGTAGTACAGCCTCACCACCGGCTCACAGGCCGCGGGCGGCTCAGGCCCGGCGCCCAGCGCGCCGCCGCTCGACTGCGGCCGGGTCTTCCGGCTCTTCTTGGCGGTCGCCGCTTTCGCATGGCCCTTGAGGGCGTTGGTGGCAATGCGGCTGAGGGCCCGGCCCAGAGGCTCGCTCTGGTCGCGCTGCATGTTCTTGTGGCTACCATCGGCCAGCGCGAACGACAGGCTGAGCTTGGGCTCCGAGGGCACACAGCGCACCACCGCACGCTCCATCGTGCCCGCCGCCTCGTCGGCCGCCGCCTCGGTCCGGCTGCGCCGCCCCACCGCCAACCGGACCCCACGAAACGCGGCGCGGCCCGGGAGCCTCCACATGAACCTGGCGGCGGACCAGAGCCCGAGGAGTCCCCCTGGATCAAGCCGGACACAAACCCGCCTCAGCCACCGGCTCCCAAACCCATTCAGACCCAGAGACTTCCGGTTGGGGAGGCGGAGGCGCGCAGAATTCCGGACTCGCACTTTCGCATATATTTCTTTCATCTACCATAGGCATATTTGTGTTGAAAGTGCGGGCTAAGGGCGGGAAGGAAGGCTTACGAAACCGGAAGCGCCTGGGCGGTGGACGACTGCGGCGACCTGTCAGTCACTGCCAGCGTTCTCCACACAACGCCGGGGGCTGGACGACGGGCGGGCGTGGGCAGCCTCACCCTGGGGGCGGAGAAGGCGGCGGCCGCTTCCTCCGCCGCGTGCGCTCCTGTTTGCCCTCTTCCAGGTGTGGTTTGAGACGTGGACCTGAGTCTCTAGCTGGCGAGCCTGCGCGGCTAAGGTAGGTCTAACCTTGGAACTGGAAGCCGAAAGGAGAGGACAGAGGCACACGGTGAACCGACCCAGTGCAAAACAGGTTACCAAAGGCTGTTCGTGTTCATTAGTAAAGACTTAAGAGTACATTCAGCACATAGAACGCAGGACTAGGTTAAACCTCGAGTTAAGGAATTAAAAAGGTGACGAGCTTAACTGCCCCCCCCCATTTATCTGAAGTTCAAATTTAACCTGGACTCTTATATTTTATTTCTGTTTCTTTAAACAGAAATTTTCTTTGAAATACAGACTGGGCGTGGTGGCGCACACCTTTAAACCCAGCAGTCAGGAGGCAGAGGCAGGTGTGTTCGAGTCCAGCCTGATCTACACAGCGAGTTCCAGGTCAGCTAAGTCTACATAGTGAGTCACTGACTCAAAAAAAAAAAATTATAAAAATCTTGAAATATGACTGATCTTGGTTTATAGACGAAGTCTTGAAGGACTGGAACCGTAAGCCCTGGGGGGAGTCTCGTGTAAGAAAGAGTCTTCCACCGTGCTGAGTAGTGCATTCTCTTTTTTTATTTGTGGTGGTATTCCAACCAGAGCATCCGGAAGGCAGGGGCTCTACCACTAAGCCACATTCCCAGTTCCCCAAGTAGTGCATTTTAAACCCTGGGACCATCGAAAAAGGAAGGGTTAGAGAGAAAAGAAGAGGGTGGTGAAATACGACTTTCCTTCAGGCAAGCTGATCAAATTTGGTGACGGTCTTATTTTTTTTAATGTTATTTTTATTTTATGCATATGTGTGTATTGCCTGCATGTATGTTAAGTGCACTTGTGTTGTGCGATGCCTGCAGAGGGCAGAAGAGGGCATCGGATCCTCTGGAACTGGAGTTATGGAGGGTTGTTAGCCACCCTGTGGGCGCTGGGAATCTAACCTGGGTCCTCTGCAAGAACAACCAGTGCTCTTAACCACTGAACCATCTCTCCAGCCCCCTAGCCGAGAGTCTTATTCTTGATTTTGAGATATGTCATAGAATGTCACACCTGTCTTAGTTTTTTATTTGAACTTTAAAAAATATATATTTTCTTATTTTTATTTTATGTGTACACATGTATTGCCTGCATGTAGGGAAGTGCACCCGCGTCGTGCACTGCCCACGGAAGACAGAAGAGGCTGTCAGATCCCCTGGAACTGGAGTTAGGACAGTTGTTAGCTGCCATGTGGGTGCTGGGATTCAAACCCAGATCTTCTGCAAGAATAACCAGTGTTCTTAACTGCTGAGCCACCTCTCCAGCCTTATTTCAACTTTCTTTCTTTTTTTTCTTTTTTTTGAGACAGGGTCTCTCTGTAGCCCCAGCTGTCCTGGAACTCACTATGTAGACCAGGCTGGCCTTGAACTCACAGAGATCCGCCTGCCTCTGCCTCCCGGGTGCTGGGATTCAAGGCGTGTGCCACCACGCCTGACCCTATTTCAACTTTTAAAAACAAAATGTACACATTGCTGATGTACTGGTACACACCATGCCTGGGGAGGGTGAGCGCTCTGTGAAATCCAGGCAAGCCTTGTGTATATAGTGAATTCCAGGCCAGCTGGAGCTACAGAGACCCTGTGTCAAAAACAAACAAAAAATAGGCACATTGTGAAAAAAGGATCATTCCTACCCCTGACTGTTAGAAATACATAAATAGAAGCGTAGTATACTTGTGGCTTAGACCTTCCTCTTTTTTTTTTTTTTTTTTTTTTTTTTTTTTTTTTATTCTGTTTTTTTTTTTTTTTTTTTTTTTTTTTGTTCTTTTTGAGACAGGGTCTCCCTGTAGCCCCAACTGTCCTGGAACTCACTATGTAGACCAGGCTGGCCTTGATCACACAGAGATCTGCCTGCCTCTGCCTCCCGAGTGCTGGGACTACAGGTGTGCGCCACCATGCCCGGCTCAACCTTCCTCTTTTTTAAAACTTTTATTTCTTACTACATTTTTATATTTTTTGTGTGTTGTGGGGGGTGGATATGAGAAGGATGGCACATGCCACATCACTGTGTCAGAGGACTGTTGTCAGAGGATAATATTCAGGATCAGTTCTTCTGCCATGTGGGTCTCAGTAATCAAACTCAGGTTGTCAAAGTTGGAGGAAGTCACCTTTACCCACTGAACCATCTTGCAAGCCCTGTATTTACTTACTTATTTTTTTATTTATTTCATTTATTTATTTTGTCTTTTTTTGATACAGGGTCTCCTTGTAGCTCCAGCTGACTTCGAATTATATAGACCAGACTGGCCTTGAACTCACAGAGATCTGCCTGCCTCTACCTCCCAAGTGCTGGGATTAAAGGTGTGCACCACCATGCCCAGCTGTATTTACTTATTTATCGTGTGTGTGTGTGTGTGTGTGTGTGTGTGTGTGTGTGTGTAGGTCAGAGGACATCTTGAAGGAGTTGATTCTCTCCTACTATGTGGGTTCTGGGAATTTAACTCAGATTGTCAGATTTAGCAGCAAGTACCTTTACCTGCTGAGTCAATTGGCCAGCCTAGGCTTTTTTGGTCTTTTTGGGACAGGGTCTCCCTGTAGCCCCAGCTGTCCTGGAACTCACTATATAGACTAGGCTGGACTTGAACCCACAAAGATCTGCCTGCCTCTGCCTCCCAAGTGCTGGGATTAAAGGTGTACACCACCATGCCCGGATTTTTTTTTTTTAATCTTAATCATAACTTTTGTTAATTTTTTTTCAGGAGGTATTTTAAAAGTGTCACATCACTTAGAAAGTTTATTCTGAATTCCCAAGCTTGAAAGTAATACATAATAAATGCTGTTTGGAGCTATATTTTTTATGAGATTAATGTATAGCCCCATAAATTATCTAGTTGAAATGACATTGGGAAATTAAGCCAATAATATGCTTTCCCTGATATTTAGAAAGGGGGGGAGGCTAATGGGAATAATTTTATTCACTTGTTTTCTGTCCATGTCAAGAAAAACAAGCTAAGGGCTGGGGGCATAGCTTGATGACAGAGTACTTGCCTAGCATGTATGAGGACTTAGGCTTGATCCCCAGTACCAGAAGGAGCCTATGCAACTGGGGCAATAGCACAATTGGCAACATGTCTGCCATGAAAGAACGAGGACCCAAATATGAGCCTCAGAATGCAGGTGAAAATACCAGGTGTTGTAATCCCAGCTGTGGAATCGGATAGATGAATCAAGTCAATTGGGAGAAAGCACCAAGACACAGACAAAAACTCAGGCAGGATAGAGTTTGTTAGAGGAAGATCCCACAGATCAATTCCCTTCAGGGTAGGGAAATTGTCAGTCCATGGGTTGTGGGCTGGGGTCTTTATAGGGGGACTTCAGGGGATGCAGAAGGTGGGAACATGTTCTTAAAAATTAGGTGGAAAGGGGCGGGGTGGGGGGGTTACCAGAGCAGCTTCTGTTAAAACTGTGCCCTTCTGTCCTTCAGCCCGGATCTGAGTCAAAAGGTGTCTGTTTACCCTTTAAGATTATCAAAAGGAAAGCCTGCTGTGCTGAAGCAACTCCTTCAGTCTCTGGTCAAAAGGTGGAGTCTGTTTCTCAAAGGGAAAGCATGCTGCCTTTGGCCAAAAGGTGCAGAAAAGTCTGCTTCTCTTGACTTCCAAGCCATCATCTCATTCCTGCATTCTCAGGGGCTTGCAAACCCGTGGGGCCCTGCTGTATTGGGGAGGGAGTTGCTGTTAAATCTGAATGTAACAGATTCTATCCCAAGTGTAAGCTCCTGGACACTGAGAGGCCCTGTCTAAAAAAAGAGGTGAATGGTGCCTGAGGAGGAAAAGCTCTCGAAGTTGACATATGGCCTCCACATGCATGCGCACATATGTGCATGTACACCTACCCACATGTGTGCCCACACAGGCACATAAATTTTAAAAAATTATTTTTTTTGAATTATTTTTTCATTTATGTGTATGAGTGTATTGCCCACATATATGTGAATGCACCCATGTTGTGCAGTGCTGCAGAGGTCAGAACAGGGTGTCAGATTCCCCTGGAACTGGAGTTAAGGACAGTTTGTAGCCACCATGTGGGTGCTGGGAATTGAACCCAGGTCCTCTGCAAGAGCAGTTAGTACTCTTAACCACTGAGCCATCTCTCTAGCCCCAAGGCACATAAATTTAAGAACATATTGAAAGAAACTTTCAGAACTACTCAGCCTGGGGGCACACGCCTGTAACTCCAGTACTCAGGAGGATCATGTGTTCCAGACCAGCCTGGGCTATAGAATGCTGTCTCAAACAAAACAAAGGGAACATACTTTTGTCAATCAGAGTTATGTTTGACAGAGCTTTTTTAGTTTCATATCTATCTATAAATCATCTACATCTCTCTAAATATTCATGAATAAGGACTAGTTTCTTTTGATTACTTTCCCTATGATAAATGACATTGATAGTTAACCACACAGATATACTAATATGCTAATATTAGTATATACAGATATGCTAATACTCTGGCTTAAGATTAAAATGAAGCTATAATTTTGGGTGATAGCATTCAGCATTCAGAAGTTTGAGTAATATTTGGTGATACCACTTTGGTATCTCAGTGGTACAGTGCTTACCTAATGGACATGAGACACTAGGGTCAGTTCCCAGTACTGGAAAAAAAAAAAAAAAAGTGGGGATTAGCTTGTATTCAAAATAATTTACATTTGCCTTCTTTTTTAAAAAAAAAGGATCAGCTTTTTAATTTTGTTTTCCTCCCTTCCTTTTCTTTTTGAAACTGAATTTTACTATATAGCCCAGGCTTGCCTTTTAAC